TTATATATAAAATAAAATATATAAGCTAAATATAAGAAAAACTACAGGGATTTTTTTTTTCCTCAAGAATTAATCAATGTAATATTCCACTGTAATTAACGCTAGTCCTTCTCTGGCAATTCTCCAACACCAACCGTTATAAATCCAAATGAGATAGTTTTCTTTATGTCAGAGGAAAGCAAAAGCCAAAAGGAGTTCAAAAACTTTTACCCTCACTGTCCAAAATGGTGATTTTAATCCTGCAACTTTTGCTCTTGTCCTTCTTTTTTGTTGCCTATATTGTCCTTCTCCGTCAGTACAGTGCAGTTTTATTAAGAGGAAAACCAATGTCCTGTTCCAAATCGCTTCTCTTCTCTTCTCCCAACTTCAAATCACACGCTCTTTCAATCATTCTTTTCTATTCCTCCGTATTGTATCCAACAAGACAGGTTTTGCTGCGTCACTTCGCTCTCCTCACTGTTTGCTGTCTGCACCTTTCTGAGTCTCCCTTTCCTTCCGCTGCTCCTCCGGACTCTTAGTTATCAACTCTTCGCAGTTATTATCTGTAGTGCTTTTTCTAACGTTTAATCTCCTGCTCACACCGCCAATCTTCACCCCATGCTCACTCTTTTGCTTCCCGATTTAGCACTTGGGGTGTTAGATCTCTGGTACGGCCATGTCGGCCGTCTTCTTCCGTGTTCGGAATAAGGGTTCTTCTTGGCGCGGTGGGAGACCGCACCTCTCCTCACCAGCTCCGCCGAAGTCACCCTCTCTCTACCGGTCTACCCAAGACTGATTTTTCCCCATAACGGGCACCATAACACTGGAAATTCGACACTGGATACGGAGCTCTCCTTCCTCGTGTTGCCTCGATCCACGCCTCAACCAGAAGTCTCCATCCATCTCAAACTTTAAATGGACAGAAAAAGTGTATCTGATTGCATGTAGGTAATCCAAGAAGAGCCAAACCAGAGATGGTTTGGTTCTTCTCACTTCAGAATAAATTCCCACTATTGGATATTTAAATCCTGCTACCTGTGGCTGTGTTTGTAAATTATTTGGAATTGTTTAGCATGCACATAATAGCCCTCTACTTACTACAAAGTTAACATTAAATTAGAGTATTTTCAAAAGGAGGTTTTTCTAGACTAAGACATCAAGTTTCTCATGCATTTTTCTTCGTTTATTCCAATTAAGATTGTTCTAACTTGCTTTAAATTCATGGTAAGTAATAAAAAATGATAGAAGTTTATAATTTAATTATTAAAATGAATTAGATGTTGATCCCATTCTGGCTAATGAAGTTAAAATGGTATTTCTGCAATTCAGAACTGCCTTTGCACAACTCTGTTAAATCCAGCAGAATTTGTTATAGCTGTAATGGTCAGTGAGTTTATAATTTGCCTGAAAAGATAGCAAAAAAGATTCAGAGAAAGGACAGCATGATGAGTGGCTATCCATGCTTTTCATTAAATTCTTACAATTAAATTTGGTTTTAATATTATGAGAAAAAGACAGTCATAGCAATAGCAATAGCACTTAGACTTATATATCACTTCACAGTGATTTTTACAGTCCTCTCTAAGTGGTTTACAGAGTCAGAATATTGCCCCCAATAATTTGGGTCCTCATTTTACCCACCTCGGAAGGATGGAAGGATGAGTCAACCTTGAGCCTGGTGAGATTTGAACTGCCAAATTGCAGTCAGCTGGCAGTCAGCAGAAGTAGCCTGCAGTACCGCACTCTAACCATTGCACCACTGCTGCTCATAAATAAGCATAATCTATGTAAATTTTCTATAGTTATTCAAAACTGCCACTTTCTATCCATTATATTGGGAGATAGATCTGTGTTCTATTATACTTTTCATATAGGCTTGTTCATTCTCTTCTGGTAGTCATTCTACTTTTACTCTCCTTTTTGCTAATTTTCTTTTCTTCAGATTTTTTTTTTTTTTTTTTTTTGCTTTAATTTATATGCTGCCCTTCTCCAGAGACTCAGGGCGGCTTACAATGCGTTAAGCAATAGCCTTCATACTTTTGTATATTTTATACAAAGTCAGCTTATTGCTCCCACAATCTGGGTCCTCATTTCACCTACCTTAAAAAGGATGGAAGACTGAGTCAACCTTGAGCCTGGTGAGATTTGAACTTGCAATAATTGCAAGCAGCAGATGTTAATAACAGTGCTTTAGTCTACTGTACTACAGGCTCTTCAGTAATGATGTTCCCCCTAGATTTGCTCTACACCAGAGGTGTCAAAGTTGTGGCCCATGGCCGAGATGCGTCACGCACTGGCCACACCCAAACCCAGTTTAGCGAAGGGAAAAAAAGTTGCGATACGTAACATGACGACGACGTGTCGCCGCGACTTTGACACTCCTGCTTCAGACACTAGCAAAAATTGGTGTGTTTCACATCTTGCATTAATCTTGTACCTTTGCTAAAGTTTTTCCTGTCCTCCTTCAGATTTCATGCTGTCTAGATATTTTCAACTAGTAAATTCAAGTTTCAAATAAATTTCAAATTAAATTCAAATAAAGAGCCTTGGTACTACAGTGGTTTAAAGCACCCTGTTATTAACACAGCTGCCTGCAATTTACTGCTGGTTCGAATCTCTCCAAGGCTCAAGGTTGACTCAGCCTTCCATCCTTTCTAAGGTAGGTTAAATGAGGACCCAGTTTATGGGGGCAATAAGCTGACTTTGTATAAATATACAAAAGGATGAAGGCTATTGCTTAACGCACTGTAAGCCGCCCTGAGTCTCCGGAGAAGGGCGGCATATAAATCAAATTAAAAAAAAAAAAAAAATTCAGTTCATAGGCATATTGCACACTGCTAGCCATACATCTAGATCAGGGGTGTCAAACCTGATAGCATCGCGGGCTGTATCGTGATGTTTTTTGCGTTTGTGAAGCCAAGGTAGGTGTGGCCTGCATGGGCTGTATCTGGCCAGCAAGCTGCCAGTTTGTCAGGTCTGATCTAGATCAAGAGTCTCCAACCTTGGCAACTTTAAGACTTGTGGAATTCAACTCCCGGAATTCCTCAGCCAGCCTGACTGACTGAGAAATTCTGGTAGTTGAAGTCTACAGGTGTTAAAATTGCTAAGGTTGGAAACCCCTGATCTAGATCATCTGAAGACCCAATGACTAATCAAACCTAATAATAAATAAGGATCATGTCTGGTAAATCTTAATACTCTTCCCTAAATGACTGCTACTATTAATCCAGCACATGGCCAGAGATCAAAATTCATTTTTGTTGGTGCTAATCTAACGTCAGTACAGTTTTTTTATTTAAGCAAAAAACTTTATAGTTTGCTTGCTTTGCAATATAGTTATTTCTTCTTTTAATAATATGTTTTTATTAAATTTCATTATACGATACAAATAGACAACAAAAGTTTTCTATTTGTTTAAAAGTTAGAAAACCAAGAAAGAGAAAACTGCAAAAAAAGAGAGAAGAAAATTAAACTTCTGTCTCTCATCAGTGCAGTAGATTACAAAAATAATATCTCAACCTTTTGCTTTACATTTCCCAGTATTTCAAGCCATTTCTATAATTATAAAACCATTCCAATCATCAAAACCTAAACTCAAAGTTTCATTCCCCCCTCCTCCCCCAGTTTTGAGCAAAAAATCCAGCAGTGATTTCCAGGTAGAAACAAAACTAGATAAATTCTTTTATTTAATTAAAGTAAATCAATTTCAACATCTTTGCAAACTCTGTCACCTTTCCGTCCATTCTTCTATTGTGGGAATCAGTGTATGTTCAGACCGGATTGCCCGATCCAGTAGTGATGGAGACCAGTGGTTCGGAGAACCGGTAGCAAAAATCCCTGACAACCCCCCCCATTGCCTAGCTGAGCCGCGCAATCATCAGAGGCTTTTTTTAATTTTTAAAAGCATTTTTTCTACAATCTCTTTGGCCGAAAAAATGCTTTTAAAAATTAAAAAAAAAAGCCTCTGATGATCACGCGGCTCAGCTGGGATCCTCAGAAGCTTTTAAAAGCATTTTTTCTATAACCTCTTCGGCCAAAGAGGTTATAGAAAAAATGTTCTTAAAAGGAAAAAAAGTCTCTGCCGATCAGGCAAGTCAGCTGGGATCGTCAGAGGCTATTAAAAAAAAAAAGCTTCTGCCAATCAGGCAAGTCGGCTGGGATCATCAGAGGATTTAAAAGCCTCAGCCGAAGAGGTTGTAGAAAAAATGATTTTAAAAGGTTAAAAAAAAAAAGTTGGCCACACCCACTCAGTCATATTACCCTTCCCACCAAGCCACGCCCACAGAACTGGTAGTAACAAATTTTACATTTCACCACTGGTGTTTTTCCACTTTTGTGCATATACGATTCTTGTTGCTGTCAATTTATGCAGTACAGTTACTTCTTGGGGATTGGCATGGCAGAATGGAAACCTTCAGCTGTAGGGAATGCCAGTGGTAAAACAACATTATCTGTGGAGAGGCAAAGAGAAGATGATTGATGAAAGCAGAGTTATAGCATCATGGCACAAAACCTTGCCCATTTTGTGCATTACAGAATCCCTGTCCTTGTGATGTAATTCAGCTGCTTTTTAAAATTGCATTGTTAGATTTCTCTACCCCACTCCATATTGCCTTCTACTCTTTAATGTTAATTGCATTAACATCTTTGCTGATTTTCAGATGTTTTCTATGTAGGAGTTTGCAGATCAGCGAATGATCAAGGCTACTTCAGTACATCATCCGTGGTAAACTCGTACTAGAAAAGCTTTTAAACTAGTTATCATGCTGGTTATTTTTAAACATTGTTTATTACACCAAGTCTGAAATATTTACAGAAATCTGCAGTGAAAGCTATAGGTTACAGTTGAATCTAAGTGTATGTTGTTAATGAACTGTGACATATTATTTATCTGGTTGTACAATTGGAAATAATTTTCCATTTAAAGATCACTCAGGTAGGAGGGTATAATTGGGTTTCCTCCTCTTATTTCTATTCAGATAGAGAAATGTATGAACTCATACTTTCACATGTCTTTTCAGGTATATCTTGAAAGATTGCTAACTTATGCAGAGATAGATATTTGTCCATCAAACTGGAAAAGAATTGTGCTCGGCGCAATTCTACTTGCATCCAAAGTTTGGGATGACCAAGCTGTGTGGAATGTGGACTACTGTCAGATCCTGAAAGATATCACAGTTGAAGACATGTGAGTTTATTGTTCAGTCCCATCTTTGCTTATTTGTTTGATAATAGATACAATGGGAAAGTTTCTGAAGAGGCTGAGAAATTAATTTATTTATTAAATCTCTTTGCCACCCATGTCATTTTGGAATGACTCTGAGTGGCTTACAATATTAGAAATAAAATAGCCTCTAGACATACAGAGCAGTATGACTAATAAAAGGCAATTCAGTTTGGGAACAAAGAAAGTTGGGGAACAAGAGATTAAAATTTTCATGAATTCAATGGAATGGAATGGAATGGAATGGAATGGAATATGAATGAGACAGGACAGAACAGAACGGAACAGAACAGATCAGTTGTTAGGTAAATCACATAGTCGTTTAGCAAATCAAACTTCCCCCATTGACTTTGCTTGACAGCTTTGGAAGCTGTCTAGAAAAGTTGTGAATGATGATCACATGTTCCTAGGATGAAATATATGCTAGTTCCCAAGCACATGAATTTTGATCATGTGACCATGGAGATGCTGCGCTGGTTGTAAGTGTGAGGACTAGACATAAGTCACTATTTTTAGTGTTGTAACTTTGAATAGTAATTAAATGAATTGTCATAAATTGAGGATGACTTGTAAATACAAATACATGAGATAGATCCAACCAAATTAGCTGAACCTAGATTCTGTTGGATAAATGAATTTAGGTTTAGGTCATAATGAAATAAATTTAACTAACTTCTTCTTGTTGTTAGTTGCAAAGCTGTGTCCCACCCATCGCGACTTCATGGACAATGTTCCTCTAGGCTTTCCTGTCCTCTACCATCCTCTGGAGTCCATTTAAGCTCACGCCTACTGCTTCAGTGACTCCATTCAGCCACCTCATTCTCTGTCATTCCTTTCTTCTTTTGCCTTCAATCTTTCCCAGCATTAGGATCTTCTCCAGTGAGTCCTTCTTTCTCATAAAGCGGCCAAAGTATTTGAGTTTTATCTTCAGGATCTGGCCTTCTAAAGAGCAGTCAGGGTTGATCGCCTCTAGGACTGACCGGTTTGATCGCCTTGCAGTCCTCGCAGGAGTCTTCTCCAGCACCATAGTTCAAAGGCCTCAATTCTTTGGCACTCAGCCTTTCTTATGGTCCAACTTTCACAGCCATACATTGCAACTGGGAAAACCATAGCCTTGACTATACGCACTTTTGTTGGCAGGGTGATGTCTCTGCTTTTTAGAATGCTGTCTAGATTTGTGATAGCTTTCCTCCCCAGGAGCAAGCATCTTTTAATTTCTTGACTGCAGTCCCCATCTTCGGTGATCTTGGAGCCCAGGAAAATAAAATCTGGACTCCATTTCTTCCCCATCTATTTGCCAGGAATTGAGAGGGTCGTATGCCATGATCTTAGTTTTCTTAATGTTGAGTTTCAACTTTTGCACTCTGCTTCTTCACCCTCATCAAGAGGCTCTTTAGTTCCTCTTCGCTTTCTGCCATTAGAGTGGTATCATCTGCATATCTGAGGTTGTTGATATTTCTCCCAGCAATCTTAATTCCAACTTTTGATTCATCTAGCCCCGCCTTTCTCATGATGTGCTCTGCATATAAGTTAAATAGGCAGGGCGACAGTATACAGCCTTGCCGGACTCCTTTCCCAATTTTGAACCAATGAGTGGTTCTGTGTCCAGTTCTCACTGTTGCTTCTTGATCCACATATAGGTTTTTCAAGAGACAAATAAGATGGTCTGGTACTCCCATCTCTTTAAGAACTTGCCACAATTTGTTGTGATGCACACAATCAAAGGCTTTAGCGTAGTCAATGAAGCAGAAGTAGATGTTTTTCTGGAACTCCCTAGCTTTCTCCATGATCCAGCGTATGTTGGCAATTTGATCTCTAGTTCCTCTGCCTCCTTGAAATCCTGTCTGTACTTCTGGTAGTTCTCGGTCCATATACTGCTGGAGCCTAGTTTGTAGGATTTTAAGCATAACTTTACTAGCATGTGAAATGAGTGTAATGGTGCCATAGTTTGAATATTCTTTGACATTGCCTTTCTTTGAAATTGGAATGTAAACAGACCTTTTCCAATCCTATGGCCACTATTGAGTTTTCCAAATTTGCTGGCCAATTGAGTGTAGCACTTTTACTGCATCGTCGTTTAAGATTTTGAATAGCTCAGCTGGAATACTGTCTCTTCCACTACCTTTGTTGTTGCTCAGATTTCCTAAGGCCCATTCTAGGGCCTTAGGAAATCTGAGGATGTCTGGCTTGAGGTCAATGACCACCCCATCGTGGTTATCAGTGATGTTAAACTCATTCTTGTATAGTTCTTCTGTGTAATTTTGCCACCTCTTCTTAATCTCTTCTGCCCCTGTTAGGTCTCTGCCATTTTGGTCCTTTATCATGCCCATCTTTGCATGAAACGTTCCCTTCATATTTCCAATTTTCTTGAAGAGATCTCTGGTATTCCCTATTCTATTGTTTTCTTCTGTTTCTTTGCACTGTTCATTTAAGAAGGTATTTTTTATCTCTTCTAGCTATTCTCTGGAATTCTGTACTCAATTGGGTGTATCTTTCTCTTTCTCCCTTGCCTTTCGCTTCCCTTCTTTCCTCAGCTATTTGCAAAGCTTCCTCAGACATTTTGCTTTCTTGCATTTCTTTTTCTTTGGGATAGTTTTAGTTGCTACCTCTTGTACAATGTTGCGAACCTCTGACCATAGTTCTTCAGGCACTCTGTCTATCAGATCTAATTCCTTAAATCTATTTGTTACCTCTACTGTATAGTCATCAGGGATATGATTTAGTTTATACCTTGAGTGGCCTAATGCTTTTCCCAACTTTCTTCAATTTAAGTCTAAATTTTGCTACGAGAAGCTCATGATCTGAGTCACAGTCAGCTCCTGGTCTTGTTTTTACTGACTGTATAGAGTTTCTCCATCTTTGTCTGCAGAGCACATAGTCAATCTGATTTCTGTGTTGACTGTCTGGTGATGTCCACATGTAGAGTCATCTCTTGGGGTGTTGGAAAAGAGTGTTTGCTATGACCATTGTATTATCTTGATAGAATTCTATCAGTGTGTGCCCTGCTTCATTTTGTACTCAAGGCCAACCTTGCCTGTTATTCCGGTTATCTTTTGGCTTCCTACATTAGCATTCCAATCCCCCATGATGATAAGGACATCATTTTTTGGTGTTAATTCTATAAGGTGCTGGCTTCATAGAACCAGTCAATTTTATCCTCTTCAGCACCAGTGGTTGGGGCATAGGCTTGGATTTCTGTGATATTGAATGGTTTGCCTTGGATTCGAACTGAGATCATTCTGTCATTTTGGGGATTGTATCCCAGTATTGCTTTTCCTACTCTTTTACTGATTATGAAGGCTACTCCATTTCTTCTGAGGGATTCTTGCCCGCAGTACCTGATGGTCATCTGAATTAAATTCACTCATTCCTGTCCATTTTAGTTCGCTGATTCCTAAGATGTTGATGTTCAGTCTTGTCATCTCTTGTTTGACGACATCCAGCTTGCCTTGCTTTATGGATCTTACATTCCAGGTTCCTATGGAGAAAAAAATCTTTACAGCATCGGACTTTCCTTGCACCACCAGATGCATCCTCAGCTGAGCGTCCTTTTGGCTTTGGCCCAGTCGCTTCACTCATTCTGGCGCTACTAGTACTAGCCCTCTGCTCTTCCCCAGTAGCATATTGGACACCTTCCCGACCTGAGGGGCTCATCTTCCAGCGTCATATCTTTTTTCCTTTTGTACTGTCCATGGTGTTTTCATGGCAAAGATACTGGAGTGGGTTGCCATTTCCTTCACCAGTGGATCACGTTTTGTCAGAACTCTCTGCTATGACCTGTCCGTCTTGGGTGGCCCTGCACAGCATAGCTTATAGCTTCATTGAGCTATGCAAGCCCCTTCGCCACGACAAGGCAGTAATCCATGAAGGGGTTAACTAACTTAATCTATGTCTAACATTTCTTATAAATAAACAAACAGAAGCTTGTCAATTCCAGCAAACCATAAGCAAGAATAGGTATGTCTCTAGTAAAGAGTGCAATATTCCATTGTATTATATGATTAGTGATTAGGAAAGACATCTTTTCCATTTAAACATATAAGGAAGATAGACACAAAGTGAAGAAAGATTAACTTTGAAGCAGTTTGCTATAGTAATAATAATTTAAAAAACCTGTTACATTTTATTTGTTTGTTGTTCACTCAACTCAGCTTCTTGTGAGTTGTGGCAAATAAAAATGTACTTTTATTTTTGTACTGTAAATTTTGTACAGTAAATTTTGTACTGTTCTTTATTTCTCAGGAATGAATTGGAACGCCAATTTCTTGAGTTGCTGCAGTTCAACATCAATGTTCCCTCAAGTGTTTATGCTAAGTATTATTTTGATTTGCGCTCCTTAGCAGAAGCAAACAACCTGAGTTTTCCTCTAGAACCTCTCAGCAGAGAAAGAGCACTTAAACTCGAGGTGAGACCCCTGATCATCTCGCCTTTTGAACAGTGCAATAAGCCCTCCTTTTATTTCACACCAATTCCCAAATGCATCAAATTATAACTTCATTTGTTATCGCCAGAAAGCATTGATCTGTGCCAATATGCTACCTTGAGAATCAAAAATGCTATCCATTATTCTCTGCTCATTTCCCGAACAATGTAGAGATTTCTGCAGAATATATTGGGAAAAGTTTATTGATTCATTCATGTCTTGGTTTCCAAACAGACTGTTTAAAAGAATGTCTATAAAGTTTTAACCAAACAACCATTATGTGTTTTGACAGTACGGTGAAGAAGAGGGCGGGGTTTCTCAGCTTTTTCATGACCTGGAGAAAGGAAAGATTGATTTCTTTGATAGATTTGTGACCTATCACTCCTATGAGAGCCCAAGGCAGCATCCATAGCATTCCATCTTCTGCTTTTTCTTGGTCCTGTGGAGTAACTTGGGTTAGAAGATGATGAATGGTCCAAAGTTATCCAAACAGCTGCCATGACTGAAGGATGGCCCAGGTCCTAGTCAGGGGTGGGTTCTACTTACCTTTACTACCAGTTTGCAATAGGATCGCTTCTGCGCATGGGTAGATCGCTGATGACGACATCTGGGGTGGTGGGTGGAGCCTCCTGTCGGTTTTACTACCGGTTCTTTTGAACCAGTCCGAACCGGGGGCAACCCACCACTGATCCTGGTCCAATATTTTAGCTATATACTACTGGATCCCATGCATTTGTGTTATAAGAATATATTTTGCGTCAGGTACTGCTATCTTGGCACATACTTAGATATGCCATAATGGTGGAGGACCAGTGGTGGGTTGCTCCGGTCTGGTTTTTGCGAACCAGTAGTAATGGCAATTGGAGGCTCTGCCCACCCGCCCCGATGTCATCACTGATGATCTGCGCATGCGCAGAAGTGCGCGGATGCACAAACAAAGCAGTTGCGTACGCATGCTCCCGTTGCGAACCGGTAGTAAAGGTAAGTGGAACCCACTCCTGTGGAGGACCTACTTTGAATCTGGAGGTTTCGCCAAATTAAGTAATCATGTATGTTTGATCCTCTTCATTCTCCATTCTCTTGTAGGCCATTTCTCGTTTGTGTGAAGATAAATACAAGGAATTCAGGAAATATGCAAAGAAACGGTCAGTCAGTTCAGACAATCTGTCTGTAGTTCGATGGTCTCCTGCAGTTATCTCCTAACGGTGAAGTCTGCGATACAAGACTCTAGAAGTACTGTTTCTATCATCAACTTTGGGTGGGAGGGTTGGTTTTGGTGATTTTTTTTTTCTGGTTTTTTTTTCTCCTTATTTTTAGATCTGCCTTTACAGTGCCTCCCCTTTTGTGTAGCACACAAGAATAACTATAGGGACTCGTTAAAAAGAACTTCGAAAGAAGATTTGTTTTAATGTTATTACAACTCCTCTGCTTTTTGATGGGGAGAAGGCAAATGCAAATATTGAAAAATATTTCTGCAAAATATTCTGCTTAGCGAGGATGAAACCTCAGAAACCAATACAAGATCATTAAAGAGGAGGAGGAAGAATAAAGGGTCTTAACAGAAATAATGGCATGAAAACCAATGTCACAAGAGAAGGTTGCAAGAAGCATAGTAAGAAAGACGTTGGGTGTGGTTTGAGATCCTCTTCAATATCTTCTAGTGGTTTCCCATTCTTTTTTGCTTTTTGATTGAGTTTGCTTTCTCTTCTGTAACAGCCATGGAGAAGGCAGTGCCTGTGGTAGCACAACATGAGCCTCTGATTAGAGAGCCTGTTCCTTTGCCCCCCACACTTCGATGTCCTTTTGTTCATAAGCTGTTTTATTAGCCTTTTTCCTCTTAATTCTTATGGATATTGTTGTTTCTTGTGTGCTTTTACTGTATTTTTGGGGAAACTGATTGATTGACAGTGCTGAACCCAAAGTATATAAGATCAGGTGATTGATCATAATTTTATTTTCTTCTCTATCTCTTTAATTTATAGCAACCGGTTTCATGATGTTGCCCATGAGGTGCATTTTCAGTACTGGTGCTTTGTATTATATGTGGTTGCATGTGCCTTCCTACCTTTTTTTCAGATGGGTTTATTTTTTCTTACTGTAAAGACAGAGTTGTTAAAAGGATTCAGGTGACAGTGAAGCTTGGGCCAACATGCAGACATTACTTTAGATAGAATAGTTCTTTTGCAAGATTTTTTTAATTTTTAATTAAGTTTAGAGATTAGGTATAGAGTCAAGCGAGAGAAGTGGAACGAAAGAGTGAGAGTAAGAATCTTCTTTTGTATGGCCCAAATAGTTGATTTTCTTCACTTCCTGGTTCAATGTTGCAAGCAATAGCCTCAAAAAAGTTTTTTATATGTTTACTTTAAATAGAAACCAATCTGTTTATATATAAAAGAGAAAAAAAAATAAAAAAAGTTTTTGTTCGAGGATCCATAGAAGAGAAAAGAAAAGAATTATATGTGTATGTGTTACATACATACACATGCAGGGGCATGAGTTGGGTGTATAATGAAAACAAGTGTTTTATCACAGATTAGATTTTGGAATAAAAAGGAGGTTTTTTTCAGCGTAGGTGCTCAAAGGAATTTAAACGAAATGCAAACTGTGAAGAAAATTGTATTGCTTTGTTGGTTATTTTTTAAAACTGGTTGTCATCCTTCCTATCTTTTAATGGGATAAGCAAATCAAATACCGTATATCTATGGTACTTGTGCTCTATACAAATAATTGAGTTTGCACATGTGAGAAAGGTGCCATACAGAAAACCAAGCAATCAGCCAAAATCAGCTTCAGTATCATGACTTCTGGAATTCATTTGTCAAGGGATGTTTTGATGATGTTGGTTTTGCTTTTTGTGTATTGCTTCAGCAAAACAGAGAAAGCATATTTCACCAGGAATTTTCCTTCTTGCATCTCCTTACTGTCCTTTGCACTTCATACCTTCCAAATATTTAATAAGGATGTTGTTTAGGCTAAACATCTATCACTATATTCCAGAATTATTCCCATTAGTTTCAGCAGCAGCACAAGGAGACAAGCATATTTATATGGATCCCATTAAGCCTTAAAACAATGATCACATATAGTTATTGGCAACAGAATACCCTTATTTTCATGAAAGAACACATTCATGTGGCTTAATTTTGGAAGGAAGGAACACATTCCTGCCCTTAAAGGCCTGGAATCAAGGAGCTTGAAGCTAAGGAAGAGAAAAGAATTGCCACCTTTAAATTGGACTAGATCTACATGGTTAAAAACAATTGCTTTATTGAGATTTTGCAGAACAGGTTTTTTCCAGCAAAAAAAAATAATAATGAGGCAGGTGGATTTAGGGAAAGGCATGACAGAAAGAGAAAAAGATTGATTTATGTAAAGTTTTCAATGAATTTATTCTAATTTTGTGAAGTTTATTAAACAACCTTAAAGATTGTATCTGTTTATTGTATGTATGTACATACAGTCTGATACTTAAGATTTCAAGTGGATTCCATAAAACCTTGCTCAGTCTTGTTTAGACTGTTGGATATTGTTTTAGCTTTGTGCACTGGATTCTACCTCTGTATAGGAGAATTTTCCACATTCTTCAATTAGTACTGATTCTGTGATTTAACTTGGTTATGTTTCTTGCACTACAAATTAAAAAAAAAGAAAATCTGTTAAATGTGGTGTTTTCTCATTATTAATATTATGTTATTTTAAGCTACGTCACTTTTAAAAATGCTTTAAAAATAGAATTCTTATAAGAATAATAATTCTGTTTTACTTGGCCCATATTTACTTTGCAAATAGATAAATAGGTACCACTTCAGTGGGAAGATTGTCAGGTTCCAAGTAACACCCCCAACGAAAGAAAACTCCGAGGCTTGAGTTTCCTCAAATTTCCATTTTATTAGAGAAGTCATATTGGCACATCTGGGAAAACCTGAATCCCATCTTTTTCGTTGGGCCTTCAGGCCTGACAAAGATGTTAATAGTTTTCCATGTATTGTCATGCTGGCCACATGACCACAGAAATGTTTTCGATCAATGCTGGGTCCCTCAGCTAATAAAAAGGAGATGAGCACTATGACTGGACAGGGGAAACCTTTATTTTTTATAAGAATAGTTCTGTAAATCAATTGCAGTATTTATTTTTTGCATTGCCAAAAATTGCAGAAAAACCCCATGTTTTTCCAAAAAGGCTTACTTAGGACACTGTTCTTATAAAATTCAGTTTCCCTCATTCCCAAATTGAACTATTCTTTAACTCACACATTTAATTAGAATATGAATGAATTACGGTAAATTTATACATATGCCTAATTAAATATTGTTGGAACCCCAGTCTCTTTTTGGAAAAAAAATTCTGCAGATGGTCTTTGTAGAATAGATACTAATGGTGTAACCAATTCTTGTGTGTGTTGAGCTTTCTGCATATTAAGAGCTCATGGGCAAAAAAATCATGTCACAAGGTATTGCTCAGTAGCAACTTTATGGCTAAAAAAATAATCATACAACTGTATATGGATACTAAGGAGAAATGTCACAAACCATTGGATAATAGAATAAAATTCCCATAGGTTGAAACATGCAGGTTCATATCAGGTTGGCTCTGAGCCTTCCTTCATGGCAAACAAAATACATTTGGGCAAATAATTGACAATGTAATCTGAGAGATAGTGAGGCACAGATTCTCCCCATTTCTTTTCTACCGTAGATATTTCTTCCTTGGCAGTCAAGATGGAATAGAGATGGGTAGATGAAAGGCTGAGGAGTGGGACCTAGGAGAAGGATTGAATCTCTGGATTTTAAAATCAAGAATTCTTTGGAAAAGTTGACAGTTAAGACTCAGAACAGTGTACAGGAACTCCACTTTCTTTGTGAGATGCAGAGCAGACCAGAAAAGCAATTCTACTTTATTGTAAAGCTACATTAACAGAATCTTGCAAAACTGAAAAAAACCTGAAAATTTGATTCTCCTGTTTTCACCTTTATGACCTGATAATAATTTAGGGAGGGTCACTCCTGAGCGTCTTGTTCCATCCATTATGCAATTGTGGCCTATGTTCCCAAGGTCATTTGTACATACCATTAACGGATGTCCATTATAGAAGTCTTACATTTGTGTAAGACGTTATAATTATATAAGTCTTACATTTGTGAAGAGCCTAGTGCTACTTCAGTCATGCCACTTAGAAGCTACCAATTTCATTAAGGAAATGAAAATACTCTCATTAAAAAGGAAAATAAGAAATAAGAAAAATAATTGAAATAAGGGAACAGAAGAAAAATGCCCAAATAACACACACACACACACACACACACACACACACACACAAATTTTATTTCAAAGGCCTGTTAAACTTTAGAAAAAGTAGAATTCTACTGCCTTGTATATTTTTAGAAAAGAAGTACAATTCGTTTTCTGGGAAAGGATAACTGCTAGCCGCTTTTCGTTCTTGTTGATCATTTCAAAAGATAAATTTACTAAGTATTAAATATTCAGGTTTACTCCCACTGAATGAGGAAGACATAACACTCATATCTGGAATAAACTTATCTTATATTGTATTTTTTGTCTTTCAGTCTTTAATAAGAGTGGACACTGTTTTGAATTCTTTGAGCCAAAAGCAGTTTCCGTACAGGCACAGTTCCCAGGAAAGACCATTCAGGGAAAAACAATTTTATGGCAAGCTGATTTGTTTTGGGTATCCTGATTCTTTACCTTCATCTTTCAGTGTTTGGCTTTCTGGCAAAAAACTGAGGATCTTGGTACCAAGATAGTCAGAATTCCATCCTTCTATCTCTTGAATCCAGAGCTAAAAAACACACCAAACAGTTTCTTCACAAAGTTAAGAACCATATACACTGAATTTCCCTCTTTTTAACATTACAAACGGAGAAGGTTTCAAATGTATAAAACACTCTTATTTTACTTCTGCTTTTCAATGTGAATAAATTGTGCATCAACAAATCAGCAAAAATCTATGGAGATTACCAGTCATCCAAGTTGTGGTTGTTCCAAAGGTGGGTTTTTTTTTCCCAAGTGGGAAAAAAAGGCAACTGGGCATTCTTTGTTTTTCCTTGGAAACATTTCATTTCTCATTCAACAAGCTTCTTTAGTTCTGAAGAAGACTTTTCTTGAATGAGGAGCTTAATGCCAAAGAAAAACAAAAGTTTCCTTTTGAAAAAGCACCTTTGGGAAAAATCATAAAAAAGATCATAAATTGTACTTATATGAATATGGGGTTCTGCAGATGACTAAATGTGGGCTAGTTGTTGTGCATCTGAAATGAGGCCACATAACCACGGCAGGTGCTAGTCTTTGGAAGTAGATCATAAGTACCTTTAGAGGTTCCATTGTAACATTGAATGGCTGCTAAGCAACTGGTCATAAGCCAAGCACTACAGTAGTCAGAAGTTATTCAAATTAAAACCCTCCTCTTTGTTCTTAAAGTTTGGGTTACCCAACATTTGAAATGTTCAGTCAGGTGATCCAATTCTTTTATTTCAAAATATTTTGGCTTGAATTCAGATCAGTCATTCTGATCATACTGGAGATGTTCTGTGCTTCAAGCAACATGAAGTCTTTTTTTACTGAGAATTTGAGTTTGAAATACTTCTGGAAGGTCAGAACAACTGGAGCAGAGTGTTTCACGCTCAAAATGTTTCAAATCCATAATGTTTTGTCCATTCCTAATGCTGGACAGGTTAAGCATCATCAAGTTTAGAGCTTTTCTTTGGGAAGAGAAGAAGTAATTATGGAAAAAGAAACATGCTGGGACATCGATGAATTCTGTGTCTCACCACTTAATCCAACTGGCTTTAGGGAATTGTCTTTCATATCTGTTTCAAAGACTTTGGCCACTACAGAGACAATACCATCAGGAGCCGTGGCAGCTGGTGTTGCTATATCCTCTTTCCTTGTGATACTCATTTCTATCACCCGGGCAAAACAAGGCCTTGTTCTATTATTTCTTCTCTCAATTTATCTTTCATCGCTCAACTATCCCAGTAATTTTAGGAACCTGGAATGCCCCCAAGAGGATAAGGAAAGCTGACAATAGCCAGGATAATCCCTGTTGCCTTTTGTCTTTTTGCAGTTGTTGGGGCAGAGGTGAGAGCAACAAATGTCTTTAGCTATGTTTTCTAAAGAAGGCTGAGCTCCACTCTGCGAAGTTGTGTTTCATTCCATTCTCTGGCCATCTTTTCAGTACTTCTTATTTTGCTCTCTCTGTTTAGATTTCTGTAGGTTTTGAGAATGCAGAGATTTTTGTTATAGGTTCAATCAAGTTTCAGCATGGAGTATTCAAATGCATTCAGTTTTCTCATCATTGCTCTAAGCTACAATGAGACGATTATAGGTGAGTACATAAGACCACATTATTTGTATGGTATGTATTTGTGCTTAGCTATTTAAAGGATTAGTTAACTTTTCAGCCATTACTTGTTACAGTGAAGTTGTCTGAAGGACAGGGTCTTAATAAATCAGGCACAATAGCTTGTTTAAACCTGTGTTAAGATAATATGAATGGTGCAGAGTAATGATTGAAATAGTTATCTAAATAAATGAGTGGCCATTTTTTTCACCATAGTCATTATTTTCTTTATAGATCTGGCGATCTACTACTGTAGTTAATGCCTTAATTTTTTTTTAAATGACAACAAGTACATTTAAAAGCAAAATATTCTATCTATAATCAATCTATCTATCTAGCTGTTGTTATTACGATCACAGACCAGCAAATAAAAGCATTAAAATAATAATACTAATAAAAAATATTGCGAATGGTAGTGGTTTAACAGTGGGCAGTCAAAGTTTGCTTAATTTTACATACAGCATTGCAGAATTTGACCACGTTCAGAGAAACTACTTCATACTAATCTGAAAACAATAACTACATGTAAAAATGATCAGTATTTCCTACATATTTTATTAGGTTAATATGTTATAAATCGAGTCTGGGAGTCCTTATAGGAGATGCAGTATAGTAACACGTGAGCTATAGTTTCAAAGGCAATTAAACATGACTCTTCTTATTCATGTATGAGACATTTCTAAGGTAATCACAAACTTGTTTTACCATTGAGAGGGAATGATAAATGTTCCTCACTGAATGGCTATGGAGGTTCTCAAACATCCAGATCATGGTTGTCCCAAAGGTGGGGGTTCCCCCCCCCCTCTAAAAGGCAATTGAGCTTTTTGGGGTTTTTTTCTTTGAGAACATTTTGTTTCTCTTTCAAGAACTGAGCATCCATGAACTGAAGAAGTTTCTTGGATGAGAAGCGAAATATTTTCAAAGAAAAAAACAGTTTGCTTTTAGAAAAAAGCACCTTTGGTTCCCCACTGTATAAACTTCACATTTTCTTCATTTTTAAAAATGTATGTCCAATAACTCCTTCATGGATTAGTGCCTTGTCGTGGCGAAGGGGCTTCTGTATTGTGCTTAGTTCATGACAATAAACATTTTCGTCTGCTCCTTCCATCCAGCAATTAAACTTTGCTAGTTCAGAAATCTGAGAATGTTAAGATATGAGCATGTATCAAAATCTTGCCTTAAATATCTCTCCAATATTCTTTCCATGGGCTTGATAACTATCAATTTTAGATCTGCCTCAAACTTTCTCTTGGAGATGATATTTTTGTACCAAACTTTTAGCATATAAGACGTCTGCTGCTCT